TTGAAATATATTTTTAACGTATTACGTATGGAAGAAATTAATAAAGATTTGAATTTTGTTAAGTTGAAAGATTATAAAACACTTTATTTTCTCAGTGATGGGGGGGGGGCTTTCTGGTAGTCCATTGTGTAGCTTTGTGCTTAATTTCAAACAAACAAAACTTTCTCTGAATTCTTTAATCTGGGCACTAAGTGCTTCATCTGACGGAATAAAACCCAGTGAAAAGCTCGAGATCACGTCAATTAGATAAGTATCTATCTGGTACACACACAGATTTTACATAAATCATAGTCTCAAAAACTGCTACAGTTCGTAATTCAGGAGACCAAATTGTCTCGATTAACTACCAATAAATTCAAACCAATCTGAGCAGCTATCTGTAAAATGAATGATTCCTGAGCCAGACCCACCTTTCGGTGTCTTTGTTTTCTATTATACCTTGGATAACACCTTGTTATAATACACTTCAAGATCCATGAAGCTTTTACAAACCCTACTTCGGATTCTACTAGTGAACAGTAAAGTGCATCTTAGATAAGTTCGAAAACATACAAGGAAAACAGAAATAATAAAACACATAAAACCCCGGGGAATAAAAACGACAAAATTTATATATTTACTTAATGCTACAACGTAAGAGCAACCCAACTAACATCTCCAAAAAAAACTTTAGGGGGGGGGGGATTTTGCATGTAAAGGTACTCTAAACTGATGTAAAAATATAACGTTGAACAAAACACTATCTAAATGTAGTCCTTAAATTTCAAGATCTCACTTTAACACATATAACAAATATGTTAGTTTAATCATAATTCCTAAAACAAATAAAGTAACACCAAGAAATTTAAAAACTAAGCCATGATTGCGTTAATTATAGTGATATTACATTGCTGCAGGGATATAATACAAACTCGATTAATAAGTTTACAGTCAAATAATATTAAACATAAAAACAACGTTAATTCCATACAAAAACTGAGTAAAGGATAAGATTATTGTTAAATCTTCCTAATCCTTTCTCTTATTTGACACTCGAATTTCGTCAAATTAACGGACAAAATGACAATTTTTATTATTTTTGGTTTATTAGGATCGAGCGTGGATCAATAACTAGTATTCTGGATTGTGGATCAGCGGGTCCACTATTCGATCAGACAAGAGTAATCTAAGAGTTGGCGGTAGGTGCTGTTGACTATTTTCCTTCTCTCTAGTCTATCATTTCAAAACTTAGGACGATTAGATTAGCGCAGGTAGCATTTAAGTAGTTTTACGCGAATATTCGCCAAACAAACATTTCTTTAATATTAGGAAAATTCTGATTTTCATGTATTTTCTTATATAAGCTGTCTTTTATAAATAATATAAAGACGTAAAAACTTAGGAAAATTAGTTCTTATTTGTGGGCTGATTGTTTTAAACTTACTTTGTCAGCATATAGCATCAATGCTACTAGTAATGCTACTCCATTAAATATCCAAAAACGCGTAACAGTTTTTATTTTATTTTATTACAAGTTACAGTTTTTACACTAAGAAAGAATATTTTAAAAACAGGTACAGTGTTTCAATCAGTGGTACAATCATTATCGTACATGTTTTAGAAATATTCTTCCTTACTGTAAAAGCTGTAACTTTATAATAAAACAGTACATATGATCACTAAGTAAACTCAAAAAGTGTAACAAAACTGTGTAGGAAATTATGCGTAGTGGTTGTTGAAAAAGATAAAAAAGTGTAACAGTTTTGTTGTGCAAATTTGAATTGTAGAGGGCAGAATTGTTTTGGATGACGTAAATAATACAGTACGCTCCAGGTGCGAGTTAGTGAATCATGAAAACACATTATGATTCGTTAAAATAAAGGAATATGTATTATAGGGTTGAGTATTATTGAAATAAGCACATTTAATGAGTTATATGTTGCAGTTTGTTTTGTTTTAAAATGGATAATGAACTAAGTAATGACATGAGAGTGGTATTGAAGCAGAAAAAACCATTATGTAGTAAGATACAACTGATTCTCAATTGTGATTACTTTTATCATATTTATGTTTGAACTCGATTTGATTTCAAATTTAACTAGTTTGACTTTAAATTTGTAATTCGCAGTACCACTAACAGTAAAAGTGAAGCTAGTTAAAATATAATCATAACATATATATGTAACATAGTTAGTCTAAATTAAAAGTGATTATAAATTGCAATAAGTGCCTGAGTTAGTTGTAATTGTGATATGCGGATATACGATGGGTTTTACTTAGTAAAGTAGACAATTTTTTAAATTATTAGTTGTATAGTTTCCACGTTGTCATGGCAGAAAATCATTAACTTTGCCTTATTCTAGTCGCTCCACAATTTTTCCTTTAGTAGGTGATATGTCCCTTGCAGGGATGTTTCACTTTCAGTATTGGATATAGAATCAGGATTGAACGGTTTAAAGCTGAACAATCTGTGGCTGGACAAGTAAAAGTGACGGCTGACCAATGTTGCTAGGGGATAGATTTTAGTGCGATTTGTTAGTTCAGTTCAGTACTAGTCGATCCACGAGAAGAACTTGTTCACCCTTTCAGCCATGGGGGTGTTATAATGTGACGGTCAAACTCACTTTTAGAATTGTAGCCCAAGAGTTGGCAGTGGGTGGTGTTGACTAGCTGCCTTTCTTCTACTCTGTCACTTCTAAGTTACTAGAACAGATAGCCTTTGAATAGGTTTGTGCAAAATTCATCAAACAAACAAAGAAATACAGTCATCTGATATCTTTATTTTACTTTTAGTTTTAAAGAGAAAATAGTCAGTTTCTTCTTTAATAGACGTGGATGAATTTACTGCTGTTGTGGGTTTACTTGTTTGATATGACAGTGTAACGTATCATTGGTGTAGTAAAAAAAGAAAAATGAAATATACTTCTCACCTCTAAATGTTAGATGATCCAAGTTAGTACTCTTACTAAACATTAAAACTCAACATTTTTTTTTCCTTTTAATTCCCCAAGTTTATCATTATGAAATTTAAAATTCATAGACCTCTTTTAGAATGAGCATAATGCATTACCGGCGTAGTGGCGATTTACAGTGTTTACTAGAAGAAGTTCCGTAGTACGGAACACAAAATGGTCCATAAGTTTTTATCAATATTTTTCTTGTGCATATAGAGTATTATCTGTTTGATTGAATGAATGGGAAGCCATTACTTTTATATTTTCTGTTTATACATTAACTATATACTATATATCTTAAAAAACAAATTGTGAAAATGATGTAGATGCTTGACCAAAGAAGCATGCATCATAGCTATGCCGCTGCCTATTTGCCCTACCACTAGCAACAACATATTTATTGAATGGCTTAAGAGACTGATGAACCAGAACACCAAGATCTTTTTCTGCTATAACTCTTAATGTTACTCCCATCAAAATTATACTCATAATTCAAAATGTGATGTCCCACATGCATTATCTTGCATTTATTAGAATTTGTAGAGCAGTAGCATCGTCTTCACGGCTAGTAACACTACAAACTTTAATGTCATCATCAAATTTATTAATCATTCCTTCGTCTCATTGATGTAAATCAAAAAGAGCAAAAGTCTAAACTGAGTTCTGAGCTACCATATTTGTGACATTAATCCAGTTTGACCAAACTCCATTTATAACAACCCTCTGTCCCCAACATCTACAGAGATAGCTTTTTTAACAATTGCTTTATGTGACACCTTGTCAAATGCTTTCTGAATATTAAGATATGCCAAATCCATACATACTTATACCTTCTTCAAAGAAGTCAAAAATTATAAAATTGGTATGTACCAACAAATGGTGCATTCTTAATTTAAAAAATCTTTGTAGTCATCCTCGTTGACAGATAAAACATGCTATAACCTTATAGAATGATGTAGCATCATGTGGTACTAAATCACCCAATAACAAAATACCATGATTATTTTTTTATTTTTGTAGCCCAGCCTTTCTTCTGCAACTTTACCTTTTTTAGATTTTTGTCTGATAAAAACAAAATGTCTTAAGTTATGTTTTTAAAATAATTCATTAAACAGCTGAAACAATGTTATTTTAATTTTTTCTGTTTACTTTACATTATAGTCTATAATTTATAAACTGATTATCTGAAGGTTTTATTGTACAGAAAATGTTACATTACACATTACTTATTGGTAGTCTTTTCATCGTGGAAGCAAACTAAGATTTTTAATAGGCTTGTTTTTGATTGTGAGATGTTGAATGGCCATCCTACATGTTTTCTTATTCTGAGTTTATCTCTAATATCAAATTGATTAAATGTTTTATAAGGTTAAGAAATATATGTTCAATAAAGGATATTATTATAAGAATTAAGTTTTCTTAATATTAGATTGGATTCCAGCTCGATATGCCCTTACATTCTTGTCATTTTCTGGAATTTTCATCGTTTATGCATTACGAGCAAATCTCAGTGTAACTTTGGTAGCCATGTTGAACAATACAGCACTTGAAACCAATGAGACAATTTTAGAGGAATGTCCAGTCATACACCCTTTAAATGATTCTTCATATCAATATGAAAAGGTAAGAAGGCAGATTTCATTTGTGTTACATACTGTTATTCTTGATATTATTTGATGGTTGAATAATATTATTTAAATTTTTTCTTTCATGTTCAATTTCCCTTTTTTTTTGCATTAAAATAAAGTTAACTTCTTTGAATAACAGCTTATCAAAAGACTTGAATATAGATAAATTCTTACTTGTACCTTATGTTTGATAGTTTTGTATGTGGATGCAGCATTTCTCATTATTCAAAATGCAAGTGTTATTTGGTATCATTTTGCTTATATCTTAACATAAGGTTTATGGACAACAAGGGACCTATTGGGCCATCATGGCTGTCCATCCTCTAAACTAAACTTAAACTATGAAATAACTAAATAAGGAAAAATAAAATAAAAATCTTAAAGCTAGCCCTTATCATTCATATAGTTATCAAACATTATCTTAAGTTACTATAAGTTTCTGTAACAGCTGATTGAAAATTTGATAGAATTATTTCTGTACGTGTATATGATTTGTTGAAATGTAGATATTTTAAAATTCTTATTGATGAATTTAGCTCTCATAGAAAATGTGAAATTATGCAACAACATTAAACTATAGCCACATTGACCTAAAGGCATGAAGGCAGTGGTTTTATATGTTTAATTTTTTAAAAAACAAGGGCATTTTAATTAGGCTTAGCTTTGTTTTATATATTTTGCTGCTTATGGAGATAAGGAATAATATTTTGGTTACAAATTTCAAAAAAGCAAATTTTGAAGGGATGTGATAAGAATTATCTGTTGTTAATTGGGTAGCTGAATTATTTGGTGACACTGATCAGATGTGGAAATTTTTTAAATATTTGAGGTAAATATATTCCTTATAGAAAAAAAGGATAGTTACAAATAAAAAACCAGGTTGGCTCACAAAGATTACAAGAAACAAAATTAAAGAAAAGCATAATAAATTTAAGAAATTTAAATTGACTGGTATGACAGGAGGTTTAGGAGATTATAGAATATCAAGAAATTTGGTGAAATGGGAAATTAGGACATCAAAAAGAACGTATGAGAAAAGGTTGGCTGAAAATGTAAAAATTAATAGTAAGGATTTCTTTAAAATAGTAGGACTAGGGGACACAAATATAAATTTTGGCAGGGTAGGAGTCATCTTCAGCTAAGACGGTTTTATTTTTCTAACAGGATGGTTGGTCTTTGGAATGGGTTGCCTTCAGATGTTGCTGAGGCAGTAAACTTAAGTGAGTTTAAGAAAAACATGATAAGTATATGAATGACAAGGGCTGGCTTTAAGATATATATTTTTTAATTTCTTTATTAATAGTTTTAATTTATTTTAGAGGATGGGATAGCCGAGATGGACCAATAAGTCCCATGTTGTCCCAAAACATTGTTATGTTATTTTAAGCTTGTGGTTTCTGGTTGGCCTCATCTGGGAAACTGAATGTAGTTTTAATCCACTTACAACTGCCATGCTATTAAATGAACAGACTTCAGGTATTTTTATGTCATTTTACTTTTTCAGGTACATATAAGAACAAATTTGGTAACAGAAAGCCGTTAGTCTCTTAGGGGGTCACTTCGTATGTCCACCAAAGTTACTGAACATGTCTGCAAAATAAATCTTTTTCCACTCTTATACCTCTTCAGTTAAAGTGTTACTGAGTTAAAGCATCATATCCTAGTATGAACTCAATTCTTCTTAGCTATTAATAGGTAAGCGATCTTCAAAAAACAAAGAAATAAAGGTAGAACTGAATTTTCTAAGCATATATGTATGTTATCCCAGATATCAACCACAGTGTTTACACAAAATTTGTGTAAATTACATGCATTAAAACGACCATATGCATTTTTAGCATGACATATAGCATTTGATTTACATGTTAGTTACCAGTTATTTTTCTGTCAAAGTGTCCAACCTTGTCATATTTTTATTAGCACTCTCTCTCTGTATGGGCTTTTATGTAGTAAGTGTATATTTATGAACTTTGGCAAGCTGTTAGTAAACATCACAATACTTTTTGTACATAAAAAAAAAAATATGATTTACACTGAAGACTTGTCTGTGAATTTATAATCAAAGTCTGACTAGTCTGAGTGTTATTTTATTTTCATGTTAAGATTAAAAATACTTTTTCATCTTAGTTTTCAAATTTCATTTGTATAACCTCTAGAACTTCCTAAATTAATATCAGAATTTTCTTTCACTAAAACCTTATGTTATCTGTTGTTTTCTCTACCCTAGCCCTTTAAGGACTTGGTGCATTTGACCAACCTTGTAACTACCACAAAAAATATGAAATTAATCTAAATTACCCTTTAGTAAAAAAGCATGGTGACCACGTAGCTCAAGTTGTATAAGTGAATTACACAATTCACAAGCAGCTTGCTCACAAACCTCTCTGAGAAAATTTTATTTATCTTTTTTTATTTATGTTTTCTTTTTTAACCTAATACGCTTCTTATTTTTATATTAGTTACTTTTATAACAATAGATAAAAGGTAAACAGAAAAATGATGGATTTAGCTTCTTGTATTTTTGCTGTCAACTCACTGATGAAAGTTAACCCTTGTTTTTTATATAGATGGAACTAGTGCTGAAATTGCATGGTAAAATTACCATGCTGTCAGCCGATGATGAGAAAACAAAACAGTTTTTGCTTGATATAGATAGGTACACTTTCCACAGACCAAATGTGTTTTTAAACAGGGTTTTCATTTGGTGCATCCATTTTTAAAAAGGCTGATAAATATTCAAGTTCATATTTTTAACTTTGTTTATTTCACCTCATTCTTTCATAAACATTTGTATACTTTCAGCCATCATTATTTTAATTTAACTATAAATTGATGACATTCTACTCATTACTAAAACCTTCAATTCTGTGAACTTTAGAAAATACTTCCAGTTCTTTACTTTAAAAGAATTTGAGATTATTTTTCCTACATAATCTTTATTAGTATAAGAGTCTCCATTAATCCATACCACTCTTCTCTTTAATTCTTATGTGTGTACACATGAGAGAGAGAGAGAGAGAGATGATGCTAGTACTAGAAAAATGACCTGTAATGAAAAGAAGTGAAGAACTTTCTTAGAAATATCTTTTAACGTATTAAAGATTTGAACACCCATGCTTTTTTTTCTTTTTTTAGGATGGAGAATTTGTCTGGGATGAAAATATTCAGGGCTTGATTCTTGGTGCATTTTTCTATGGCTATTGCATTACCCAACTACCTGGAGGCGTTCTTGCAGATAGGTTTAATGCAAAATGGATATTTGGGGGAGGAATATTTGTAACAGCTGTGTTAAGTCTTTTGACCCCTGTTGCAGCTAGACATAGTGTAGAAGCTTTTATTGTCGTGAGAGTACTGGAAGGTTTAGGAGAAGTATGATAAACATTTTTTTTTTTTTATCATATACAGTTGCACTGTTCACTATGAATCAAACATTTGATATATCGAAGGATTATTGTTGGAATTGTAGAAAATCTAAACTTGGCCCTATTTCCAATCCCAAATAAGTATCTCTTTCCCCCCCTTCCTAATTTTGTCTAAAAATTAAAACCAATACATCACACAAAAATACAAACATAAATACTGAAGGAAACTTGGTATATAATTACATATGTATGTTGTTTTTTTCTAACTGTGACATTGAAATATTCTTTTCTTTTTTAGTTAAATAATTCCATTATTGTTAGTTTCAACATTAATATTATGATTTTTCTCCATTTCATGAGCTAGGTTAAAAAAATTCTTATTCCAGACTTCATTCCCTAAATAAATGTGGAAAAATTTATGATAACATAATATGAAAAGTCTGTATTGCACATACTCAAACTTATGTACATGTCTGTGTATATGTATGTATGTATATATTACGAGCAGTGCTTGATTGTGCTACATTTTCAAAGCGAAATTTTAGCAATAGAGTAAGTAACTGAAATAGCATTAAAAACACAAGTTACTTTCAATGGAATGGTTATTTATAAATATACTAAAAATCTATATCTGCATGTATTTTAATTTTTTTGAGTATTCATGTCATATCTGTATCTCGAAATACCAGTGTACGTTTATCAGATGTTCGGGACAAAGTCCATCCGTGTGTAGCATAGTGAGATGTGCTTTATTTTAACACATGGCACATATTCAGACAGCTAGCATGAAAGAATGTGGAGTATGTACATGCTCATATTACACAATGTTAGCTGCTAATAATGGTTGGAGACGGCTTGAATGGGTAATGAAGAAAAACTTTAATATAAGTTTAACATAACAGCAAATGTACAAAGTTTTGTCATCATCAGAGTGGATTCCTCGTCATAGAATTTGAATTCATCACGGCAATTAATCGAGGTTGTGTAAGTCTAAACGTTTATCTTTGTTATTCCATG